GATATTTGTCATGCTCTTTCTGCATTCGGGATGTAAACTTTTTTGTTTCGCCTTGAGGGAGTCAAAAAGCGAGACATAGGTATGCTGTCAGCGACGGCAGCATCAACAATGTATTAGTTTGTGATTAGGTCAGTTTTGTGGGGAACCACCATCGGTAGGTCAATGATATTTGGTATTCAGTTATATAATCATTGGCACATCTCATTTCCATAGAGATTATTTGGCCCTGCCCCCTCAGTCATGGTCTACTGACTTTGAAACTTATGCTTATATATAAATAAGAAGATGTGGTATGAGTGCCAATGAGACAACTATCCATCCAAGTCACAATGTGTAAAAAGTAATCAATTATAGGTCAAAGTACGTTAGTTTACATGTATTAGTTTGTGATTAGATCAGTTATTGGGGAACCACCAGTGGTAGGTCAATGATATTTGGTATTCAGTTATTTAATCATTGGCACATCTCACTTCCATGGGGATTATTTGGCCCCTTCCCTCAGTCTTGGTCTATTAACTTTGAAACTTTTGCTTAGTTTACATGTATTAGTTTGTGATAAGGTCAGTTTATAGGGAACCACTAGTGGTAGGTCAAGGATATTTTGTATTCAGTTGTATTAGTATCGGCACTTTTCAATTTCATGGAGATTGTTTGGCCCTGCCCCCAAAATCGTTGTCTATTGGCTTTGAAACTTTTGCATAGTTTACATGCATTAGTTTGTGATTAGGTCAGTCATTAGGTAACCACTAATGGTAGTTCAATGATATATGGTATGCATATGTATTAGCATTTGCACATCTCATTTCCATGGAGATTGTTTGGTCCTGTACCTTCAGTCATGGTTCATTGACTTTGAATATTTTGCATAACTTACATGTTAATGTATTGCTATTTAATTTCAACGTTTGCATATTACTTTCAAAATAACAAAAAGGTGAGACATATCTCTGTATTAACAGTTTATTAATTTCATTCCCAGGAAATTAGATTTTGACAATTAAACATAAAGATATTAATTACTATGGATTCTTATATTTTTGTTGGTGCCATTTTGATGCCCCCGCCGAAGTGGAGGGGGCATTAAGTTTTACCCTTGTCCGTCTGTCCGTACGTCCCAAAATTGGTGTCCATTCTCTAACTTAAGTTTGCCGTAACCAAATGTTATGAAACTTATACACATTGCTTATTACCACAAAACACAGATCAAGTTTGAATTTTGGTGGCGTCACTTTTACTGTTCTAGAGTTATGCCCATTTACAAATGGAAAAATTTTGCAATTTTTCATTTTTTTTCTAAAAATATCAATGATGTCATTGTTCAAGTAATTTTAGTACGCCCGTTTACATGACGTATTATGGTATACCGTTGACCGTCTGTCTGTCCGTCCGTCATCAACATGTCAGACATTAACTCAAAAAAGCTTTAACCAATATGCATGAAACTTTGGTGAATTGTTTATATCTATTGACGTGAGCTCCCTTTTGTTTTTTTTATAAATTTCAGATTTACCGTTTCCGAGTTTTGGGGTTTTATTCATTATAAAAGGGGGGATTTTCCAGTTTTCCGACAATAACTCAAGAATGCTTTCACCAACTTGCAAGAAATTTTGGGGAATTGTTTATATTTATTGACATGAGCTCCCTTTTGGATTTTTATAAACTTTAGATTTAAGGTTTCCGAGTTACAGGGTTTTATTCATAAAAAAAGGGTGATTTTCCAGTTTCGGACAAAAACTAAAAAATGCTTTCAGCAGTTCTCATGAAACTTTGGTGAATTGTTTATATCTGTTGATGTAAGCTCCCTTTAGAATTTTTATAAATTTTAGGTTTTACATTTCTGAGTTGTGGGGTTTTATTCATTAAAAAAGGGGGGATTTTCCAGTTTTTGGACAATAACTCAAAAATGCTTTCAGCAGTTCTCATGAAACTTTGGTGAATTATTTATAGCTATTGATGTAATCTCCCTATTGATTTTCATAAATTTCAAATATGACATTGAGAAGAAATTGAACTTTATTTGTTTATAGTCTGACAACAGATTTACTAAGTATTGCGCAACAGCACAGTGTATTGCACAACAGCAAGAAATCTTTAATTGAATATAAATTCAAATCATATAACCAATTTCAAGTCCTTTGACTACATTTATTCAGAAACCTATAATATGTCAAATATTTAATTACAATCCGAATTCAGACCTGTATCAAGCTTTAATATTGTGTCCATTTTTGCCCCAACTGTTCATGGTTGGACCTCTGCAGGCGTATCCAGCTGCGCTCAGCGAAGCAGTTTATTAAAACTGGAGTTATCTTCCTTTGTCCATGATTATAGTTGAATCAACTACAATCAATGCTTTATACAATGCAATGTTTAATTTTGCCTACACTGATAAAACACAGATCAAGTTGAATTTGGGTAGTGTCACTTTAACCATTATTGAGTTATGCCCCTTTATAAATCGAAAAATTGCAAAATTTTTAGTTTCCATTCTGTAACTTAAATTTGCCACAACCAAACATGAAACCTATACACAATACTTATTACCACAAAACTAAGATCAAGTACAAATTTGGATAGCGTCACTTTTATTGTTCTTGAGTTATGTCCCTTTATAATGTTGTATGCAAGCGGGGGCATCATCTGTGTCCATGGGGACATATTCTCCTTTTTTTTCGTGGAACGAGGAAAACTTATAATTTTGTTGCTATTTGATTTAATGGTTTTGCCAAAGTCTGCATACAACAGGGTTGGCAAAGTATTACCCGGGTGAGAAAACCCGGGAATTCCCGGGCTGGGTAATACTCCCTGAAATGGGTAATACTGGGCAATATGAATTTTTTAACCCGGGTTTTTGCCATTGTATGCCATACAATCCTATTGAAAAATTATAATTCTTTTAACATTTTAATTTGTGGTACACCTGTACCAATGAAATCCATGAAAATTGGTATTCCACAAGTAATAATGTATCCACATTATTTAAGTAGATACTAGTAGACAATTTAGGCTGCCAACTTTTGATCATGTAATGGTAATTGAAAAAACATTCCATAAAAAGGACACTTCAAGATTTTGATGCACCTTAAATGAATTCTTTTGGGGGCAATGACTTTTTCCTGGTTTTAACTTGAATCCTAGTCTGGCAAAAACCCATGCATAAATTTTCTTTATTGATGATTACGTCATTGAAGAGTTAATTATTTATTAATGGAAGATAGTATATGATACATCTAGATAATTTATGAAATCATATCATTGAGGACTTTGTTCCTTGTAATCATGAAAATCAACAAATTTAGTGATATCTGGATGATCACTTTGAAAAAGAAATAAGGAGAAATGGTATGATTCCCAATGAGACTATAAAGACCAAAGGAAGGAAGGTGAACAATTTAAAAGTTTGCTTTCATCAAAAGCCTTAATGCCTATGTGATATTTTGAACTGCTGGGGATTAATTGATTTTCGTAGGTACCAATATTTGTAGATTACGGAGGTTATTTCTTGGATACTTGATTTTATGGTTTTGTTGAAGTCTGCATACTAGCCTATATAGATAATTTGTTTTCTGTTGAACATTTAAATCTGTGGTTACCCATAAAATCCATGAAATTTGGTATCCAGAGAATAATACTGATGACTGTGGTTCGTCAACAGCAGTTGGTTACAATTTCTGACCAGTTGAACAGTTTAATTTGATGAAATAAATTGCTATTTGGTCAGAATTTTGAATGATCTACAATAGGTGGACAGTACCACTTACAATCAAATCACAGAAATAAAAATATAGAACTGCAGTTATAATTACATTTGATGCATAAAGTGATGTTCATTTGAACCAAGGATTGATAGAGTTTTACTACATATATAAATCCTTGTTTAAACTAAAGTAAAAGAATAGGAGATAGCGTATGTATATATAACTTTGCTTTTGAGTATAGTATTCTCATAAGTGTAAAATATTTAATTTAAAATTGGATTATGTACCTTAATACCAAAATAAACAATTATCTACTGCAATGTTGAAGATTTCTAAATGAGTTAATGCATATTAAGATGATGTTATAATATTTGTTATGTGGGTTTTAAATTATGATCACAAATATAATCTAAAATGTGTCGCATCAAATTGTCAATGAAACCATAGTAAAAGAATAAGAAAACTCCACCCTTGTAATTGTGTAAAAATATCTGCTCAAAAAGTGGTAACATGATGACTTTTTGTATCAAATACTTAAAGTTTGGCATTAATATAATTGAATGATAAAGGATTTTATGAAATAGATTTAAAAGATATACATGTACGTTGGTCATAGCAGTGACTTTAAAAAAAAATCTTACAACATACAAAATGGAATTTTTCCAGTGCATGGGATGAGTTCATAAAATTAGTCATGAATAATAAATTTATGATTTAATTTTTTTAAAAGTCATTCATAATGTTGTATTGTTAACATTTATGCCCTTCATAATAGTCCTTGAATCATACAGATATAGAACAGAGATTATGTTATAGAGATGTCTTGCAAACTGTGCATTCTGAATTCAAATTTTAAAAAACCACCTGTACCAGAGAAAAAAATAAACACACAGTTTTGAATATTGTACATGTACATCGGGTCATACATCGGGTCATAATCAAACAATAAATAAAACTGAATTTCACAATGAATAAAATGGACAAAGCAAAATGATAAGATGCACAAAGCACCTGATTGCATGGAACCATGTTACAATAAAGAGCAAACAAATTGAACATTATAACAAAATAAGACTTTACCACCTGTATAAAGGTATGATTTTACACCATAAAACCTGAGTGCATCTTTTATTATCTTTGTATACTAGGTATGTAAATTAAGTTATATGATGCAGTTTTAATTTTTTGTGTTTTTAGAATTAACTTGCAGTTACCTATGCAGTGGCTGATTGCTCATTCAACTATGGCATATGATAATGAGCTCTGATAACTTTATAATATTTATAATTTTGCTTTTTTTAGATCAACAAAAAGACTGAAATGTGACAACAGTATATAGATAACCTCCCAGAATGGGGGCAAATTCTTCCTACATGGATTCAAGTGGGTCATCAGGAAAATCCCCACAGTTTCCAAGATTAGGCCATCAGTATACTGTTTCTGATACTGATATAAGTGTGAAAGAGAAAAGGAAAAAAGCTTCAAAGTTTGCAACATTAAGAAAGAAGTTAATACGTTCTAGAAGACATAGTCGTTCCTTGGATTATGGAAGAGTTCTTAGAGAGATGATATCATCATGGTCTTTCAGGGATGTCAACTGTTTAATACAGGAATATGAGGCACTTGCAGCTCTAAAAGAGTTAGCTATAGCAGCAAATTTAGCTAGACCTCCTGCAAACTCCTTCAGACAAGATCTGTCACATTTGTTTGACAGCAAATTATGCACAGATGTTGATTTAGTGTACCGTGGAGCATGTTTTCCAGCTCATAGAGCACTGTTGTCAGCTCGTAGTCCGTACTTTAGGAACTTGTTACGCTACCATCCTTTTGGATCACAGGTTCCTGTCAAGTTAAAAACAGTAGGAGTTGATGTAGCTTTGTTTGCAATTTTATTAAGATATTTGTACACAGATTCAATTAATTTAGAGGAATTACGGAAAGACCATAGAGAAATTTTAAGAAAATTAGCTGACGAATTTGGTTTACCAAATCAACTTGAATTTGATTTAAGGACTTTATTGGAATCTGGAGATTACTGTGATGCTTTACTGGTTTTCTCATGTGACAGTGAGTGCTCAGATTCTTTATCACATGACCAACTACCAGAAGGTGTGTGTAAAGCTAAAAGTTTGGAATTACCATGTCATAAATGTGTTTTAGCAGCTAGATCTCAATTTTTTCGTAATTTATTATTAAGGCGTGCTAGGTCAGGTGAGGAGTTGACAGAACGAACATTGCAGACAACTTCATTGATTGTTTTAGATGAAAGTGTAATCCCTCGTAAATATGCTCGTGTGTTATTAAATGCTGTTTATCAAGACAGTGTAGATTTATCATTAATATTACGAGGAAGTGCTAGTATGTGTAGTTTAAGTGAAGCTCAGGCTATTGTTGCGGGTAAAGGACAGATGACATTAGTGGATGAAGCAATGGAAGTTTACCAGATAGGGCAGTTTCTTGATTTCCCTATATTGTCCCAAGGTCAGTTTTACCAGGCATATATGACTAGTTTTTTTATTCATTTATGAATAGAAATTTCAATGTAAATAATCAAATATATGTCTTGTTTGTCTCATATTCAGTTATAATAGAAGCAAAGATAATGTTAGAAGAATTATACAGGAAGTTGTATTATTCTGCAGTACAAGAATAACTTTATTTTTTTTGTTATAACGATATAATTTCCAAAAAAAAGCAATGGTAGTATTCCTCATACATGTCTTAGTCAATTTAGTATCTTGAAATAAGATTTGAAATATCTGATGTTAAATGTACACACACACGTCTAGCTAAATGTATTATATGTATTTATCCCCTGTTGATTGACAAAGGTTTTTATACGACCGCAAAAAAATTTTGTGGTCGTATATTGGTATGACGTTGGCGTCGTCGTCGTCGTCGTCCGGCGTCGTCGTCCGAATACACATTGGTTTTTGCACTCTAACCTTAGTTTAAGTGAATGGATCTTTTTGAAATTTGACCATAAGGTTAAATACCACAAAAGGAAGGTTGGGATTGATTTTGGGGGTTATGGTACCAACAGTTAAGGAGAAAGGGGCCAAAAATAAGCATTTTCTAGTTTCCAGACAATAACTGTGGAACGGTGTATGGATCTCTCTGAAATTATACTACAAGTTTCCATACCACAAAGGGATGGTTAGGATTTGCTTTGGGGGGTTATGGCTCAAACCGTTTAGGAATTAGGGGCAAAAAAGGTGGAAAAACAAGGTTGTCCTGGTTAATGGACAAATACTTTAGTACAAAACATAATTTAAAGCAGTGTAAGGGAGATAAATCAAATACATCATTGAAATTATCTCCCTTACACTGCTTTTAAATTATGTATAAAGTAATGGTTAATGAACAATAAAAATAATTTAAAACAATGTAAGGGAGGTAATCCAAATATAACGTTTTGGTTACTTCCCTTACACTGCTTTTAAATTATGTTTAAAGAAATGCATATTTATAAAGGAAGACCAGTAAAAATATCTGCAAATGTTGCATCTTTTTTTTTACAAAAAAATCCATATGAAAGATTTGACACTATTTTTAATTCTATTATAAAATAGATTAAGTTAGCACTATGGTAAATTAAAATGGGTAATTATGGTTGCCAACTCCATTGGAAATTTGAATTGAGATTTTGACCATATCTTGAGGGAAAGAATTTTTTGGGGGAAAAAAGGGGGGGGGGAGGATAAAAAGAAATTGTGGGGGGTCAATTTTTTCTCATTTCAGATTTCAGAAATTAAAAAGAATTATTCTTCAAATATTATTTTTTTTTCAAATTTCAAATATTGAAAAATTTCAAGAAGTATAATCTTTAATTGCACAGTATGGCGCATTAGATTTGTAAAATCTTTGATCACATTTATTTATTTGTTATGCCGAATCTAACAGTGTATTTAGATTTTTAATTTTGGGTCCAGTTTTCAAATTGGTCTACATTAAGGTCCAAAGGGTCCAAAATTAAACTTTGTTTGATTTTAGCAAAAATTGAATATATGAGGTTCTTTGATATGCTGAATCTAAACATGTATTTAGATTTTTGATTTTTGGCCCAGTTTTCAAGTTGGTCCAAATTGGGGTCCAAAATTAAACTTTGTTTGATTTCAACAAAAATTGAATATATGGGGTTCTTTGATATGCTGAATCTAACCATGTATTTAGATTTGAGATTTGTGGACCCCGTTATCAAATTGGTTCATATTGAGGTCAAAAGGGTCCAAAATTAAACTTTGTTTGATTTCATCTAAAATTGAATTATTAGGGTTCTTTGATATTCCAAATCTAACAGTGTATTTAGATTTTTAATTTTGGGTCCTGTTTTTTAAATTGGTCTACATTAAGGTCCAAAGGGTCCAAAATTAAACTTAGTTTGATTTTAACAAAAATTGAATTCTTGGGGTTCTTTGATATGCTTAATCTAAACATGTGTTTAGATTTTTGATTATTGGCCCAGTTTTCAAGTTGGTCCAAGATAGGGTCCAGTATTTAAACTTTGTTTGATTTCAACAAAAATTGAATATATGGGGTTCTTTGATATGCTGAATCTAAACATGTATTTAGATTTTTGATTATGGGCCCAGTTTTCAAGTTGGTCCAAATTGGGGTCCAAAATTAAACTTTGTTTGATTTCATCAAAAATTGAATTATTGGGGTTCTTTGATATGCCAAATCTAACCGTGTTTTTAGATTTTTAATTTGGGTCCCGTTTTTTTTAAATTGGTCTTCATTGAGGTCCAAAGGGTCCAAAATTAAACTTAGTTTGATTTTAACAAAAATTGAATTCTTGGGGTTCTTTGATATGCTGAATCTAAACATGTGTTTAGATTTTTGATTATGGGCCCAGTTTTCAAGTTGGTCCAAGTTGGGGTCCAAAATTAAACTTTTTTTGATTTCAACAAAAATTGAATATATGGGGTTCTTTGATATGCTGAATCTAACCATGAATTTTGATTTTGGACATTGGACCATAATAGGTAAATTAAAAAAATTCAAGTTCTTAGACCACATTCTTTCTGTGTCAGAAACCTATGCTGTGTCAAATATTTAATAACAATCCAAATTCAGAGCTGTTGTGGGCCCCGCTATCAAATTGGTTCATAATGAGGTCAAAAGGGTCCAAAATTAAACTTTGTTTGATTTCATCAAAAATTGAATTATTGGGGTTCTTTGATATTCCAAATCTAACCGTGTATTTAGATTTTTAATTTTAAGTCCCGTTTTTTAAATTGGTCTACATTAAGGTCCAAAGGGTCCAAAATTAAACATAGTTTGATTTTAGCAAAAATTGAATTCTTGGGGTTCTTTGATATGCTGAATCTAAACATGTGTTTAGATTTTTGATTATGGGCCCAGTTTTCAAGTTTGTCCAAGTTGGGGTCCAAAATTAAACTTTGTTTGATTTTAACAAAAAATGAATATATGGGGTTCTTTGATATGCTGAATCTAACCATGTATTTTGATTTTGGACATTGGACCATAATAGGTAAATTAAAAAAATTCAAGTTCTTAGACCACATTCTTTCTGTGTCAGAAACCTATGCTGTGTCAAATATTTAATAACAATCCAAATTCAGAGCTGTAAAGCTTGAATGTTGTGTCCATACTTGCCCCAACTGTTCAGGGTTCGACCTCTGCGGTCGTATCAAGCTGCGCCCCAGCGAAGCATTTTATCTACTATATGAACACTTTTGTCAAATTTGATGAATTATAGATTCAATATTTATATTATATAGAGTGATAATTATTTTGTGCAATAATAATATATAATTTATTTGTTCTTTGCACTTAGGTTGTGAAGATATTATTACAGAGCATATATCAGTAGACAATATACTCAGCATACTAAACTGGAGTTCAGAGCCACATGGGTCTCAATGGGTACACAGACAGGCTATACAGTTCATGAGAGAAGAAATTTTGCAGATAATACAATCCCCAATATTTTATGAATTAACTAAAGAACAGTTGATAGATGTATTGTGTTCAGATTTCCTGCAGGTAAAATTTGAGATATATATATACAGTAAAACCTTTTTATCATGACCATTCTTTGTACAATACATGTACATGAATTAAAATTAATGGAAAATAATTTTGACCTCCAGAGCTGTTGAAATCTTAATTTTTCCCAATCTTGCTGATAATATTTTTTTTCAGTTGAGTACATCGTAAAATGCTCCAGATTTCAACAGTCCTCAATCAGCTGGTCAGGTCTGATAAGTCAAAATCTTTCAGTAGTACTTGATTCACAAATGTTATATAGTTAATTAACTGAAAATAATGCAAACATTTCAGTTGAAACTATTACTGTCTTACTGATATTATACACATGATAACATGAATAAAAACATTGATACACAAGGATAAAGTTTATAAATACAACAAGTCGGATTATACTTCAAAAAGACATATGACACCAACTTTTAATAGTCATGATAGTATTGTAGAAAGACGTTTATGTAAGCTACAAGGAGTTTCATTGTGTTGAAATAGTTAATCTGAACTTTTAACAAACAATGGGAGATTTAATTATTCAACCTTTGTATACCTGATGATATGTTCATTGGACTCATGTTTATGAATACGAAAAAAGGAGGTGTAGAATAAACATCAATGAGGCAGCAACCCAACACAAAAATTAGATAAAATAGTTAATAATAACCAGAATATATGGTAAATATTATTGATTTATTCTGTAAGGTGTATGAAATGAGGATTTACATGTATCAAATAACAGCTGCAGTTCATTGTTAATATTTTGTATATATTTTCAGGCAGGAGAGCTGGACATTTTATCAGCAGTGTTAAAATGGGGTGAACATCATCTGGTTAAAAAGATTGAAGAGAGAGGTTAGTATAGCAAATCAATAAAGGAGGTGCAGGAACCTTAAATTGGCTGAAAAACTAAAACTGATGGAAGAACTAAATAGAATTACAATCTAAGGAATTTGATTTTTTAGGTTCTTGTCTCAGAGCAGAGTTTACAACTTTTAATGAGATAAAATGAATTGAAGTAAGTAAAAAGAAGATGTAAGACCAATATTGATAAATCTGTTTGGTTCAAACTGTGTGAGTTGGTCCTCAAATTGACCCTTTTAAAAGTTCGGTGAAGAACCCTCAGCTTTAACCAATATGGTTACTTTTACTATATATGAAAATTCTCAGAATAGAAATACTTCTCATCTTTTTTATTTGATAATTAGTCTGAACAGATCAAATTGATTGTAGTAAGTAAAATGAAGAGGTAAGACCAATATTGACATGATTGATAAAGCTTTTTTGGTTCAAACTGTGTGAGTTGGTCCTCCAATCATGCCAATTGGGCCAAAAATAAATAATTGTTTTTTTCCCTAAACCTGACCCTCTCAAGTCAGGTGTGGGTAGGTAGGTAGGTAAATTATTTTATTTTTTTGGTAAATTTGGTTTTTTTTGTACTTGTAAATAGGAAATTACAAACCATCATTATAGGGCAGTATTTTAAATTCTAGGGTGTATCAAGCTATCAGTTTCCTCATGTCAGATATATTAAATAAAACTCTATGTATAATTTGAAATAATTTATTTAATTGGGTTTCTCTTGGGTGGTAATTTTCCAATAATGACACAGTCTCTGCAAACTGGTAGAACAATACGATATGATTTAATGGCATCTTGGTCCCTTGTTGCCCCCACAGCTACACAGAAGGCACAGATATCGGGCTGTGCCAGGGTAGAGTCATAATACGGATATTCCACATGTGTATTACAGTCTATCTGTAGGTGCACATTCACCACGCCTTCAAGAGCATCACCTGAAATAAAGAACAACAGAGATCTTTAATAAATAAAAAATAATATCCTAGAGTACTTTGTATATATATATATTGGTAATTTTCAATGAATAAAATGTCTAAAATACTGAGCCTTCTGTTTATTATATTAAGCAGTATAATCTGTCAGAAATCTGTCCAAGTTCAATGTCAGAGAGTGTACTACTAGAATGAAGTTTATACCGTTCATTGAAGTATGCAATTTTCCACGGAAAGAAGGATTTAAACATTGAAAGCATATCAAACACTGAATAACTCAATGGAACATGCATATAAAATACAATCAACTGAGAATGTATGAACATTTTATTGTATGTTAAATGTGGAACTTTCATTTAATGTTGGTTCACAAAATCATGCTATGCAAGACCATGTTATTATGTATTAAAAGTGATAAGAAAATCTTTTGGGAATACTATAAAAGCAAACCTTCAGGTGTGATAACAGATCCACAGCAGTAGTCGTACTTGGTTAGCTTGGACATGAAGTGTATGTGTGAAATGACCATGGAAGGAAGCCTGCTTTTTACTAGTCAGACACGCTGAGCCAGATCTTTAACGTGCAATCACACATTGAAGATAACAGTCTGCAGGAAGACGTGTCACCCTACTCGGACACATTATTCTGATTCCGGGCAAACCAGTCTTTGCTCTAACTCTAGTACTGCATGCCTCGCGGAAAAGCAGCAAATACCAATTTTAAAGCCTTTGGTTCAGTGACTCCGTCAGGGATAGAAGCCACCGTACTCGAGGCGAGCACACTACCATTGTGGCAGCCTTCTTTTTAGAGAAGTATGGGCTGTCTGCTTTTACGAGACTAGTGTGGAGTGGTCTGCTTTTATTAGGGACCAAATGATTAATTTAAATCAATTGCTTTCAGGCCTCGGGTCAAATTAGTAAGGGCATAAGGAAATCATTAGGGAATTTAGGTTAAGGGTTTGAAAATTTGCAAGAAAACAAGAAAAAGAATGCAAACAAAGGTGGGGAGACTCTCCTTATCCTAAAAAAATCTACCTTTGCTTGCAAGAAATAGATGTTGGGACGGTCACTTATTATGCATACCTGTAAACTTGTTAATAGCTTCTGCTTTTCGCTTAGGAAGTTTGTTGACAGCTTGACTGGCTCCCATCATTTTGTCAAAGGTATTGACAATATTTGAGGAGGAAGCTTCTTTTCTGTAGAGGTCCGATCAATGTCAATGCAAAATTTCAAAAACTTAAAGTCTTTATTAAAGTCTAGTGCCAGTTTCATGTCATCACCGTAGTGTGGACTAAATATTACTGTAGAACCACTTTTTTTCAGAAATGGATACACGGATGTGTTTTTTGTCAAGAGCATCCTCCTCCTCTTCAGTCAATTCTAAATCGGCTATCACGTCCTCACATATGTCTTCAAATATTTCCTTCTTAGAAAATCTGCGCGACATATTGGTTACCTACCTGTAGTCTTTCTTAAAGTTTCCTGCCGAATAAACGGCAACAGAAACCGACAGAACGGCGTCCATGTTCTGACATTTAAATGTATGAACAATCTAGAGAATATCGTAAAGACCCGAGACCACGTGCAAGAAGAAAGCCAAGTCGCGTCATCAAGGCGTTTTCAACTAGGCTGATTACAAAGGCGCTTTGAAGAACAGCGTCTTCTTCTATTGTCTTATGTATTTGACTCCTCCATTTCATAGGAGCACCGCACCACCACATGAATTTCGATAAAAAAAAATTTCTACACAAAATCGGCAATAAAATTATTCCGTTCGCGGCGATTTTTCAAGGTCAGTCGTGATTGGGGAAACAAACAATATTTTATTTTAGGCCTTGACCCTTTTAAAAGTTAGGTGAAGAGCCATCAGCTTAGCCAATATGGTTACTGTTACTATATACAAAAACTCTCTGGATAAAAATACTTCTTTATTTGATAATTAGTACATAGAGTTGAGGAGAAATTAGTGATAGTTGACTGTTGTCAAATCCTCTTTCATAGGGGTTGACATACTTGAAAACCACTTTGAGAATTTAACAAATAGGCAACTAGTAAATGCTACCTTTTTATTCAAATTTTATTTGAATGCTTCCCGATTTGTTGTTCTAGAATTTAGCACTTCAATGTTTGAGATAAGGGATGGTTGTATCATGTGATCATGTCACAGTTGTTTATTACAATCTAAGGATTGGATATTTTAGGTTCTTAAATTTGCTGTTTTAAATTTGACATACACAGTGTATATATCAATAGGAATTTTATATAATGATAGAAAGACATTTTAAATTTCAATATCTTGCAGCTTAAAATAAGAAAATGAAATTATTTCACAAACACTTGTTTTTTCAAACAATTTACAGTCATTTAATCACTTTTAATTTCAGAGCCAAATATACTCAGCCATACAGCACACAGTATCAGTAAGAAAGGAGTGAAGAAGAGAGATTTAAATGACAATGAATTGCGAGACATTTTATGTGATATAATTTCATTGGTCAGAATAGATCATGTGATACCTTATAATAATGAAACATTAAATAGTGCAATAAAAAGAGGACTTATAAGCTCTCCACCATTACATATGATGGGAGACGAAACTTGTCAAAGTTTACCTGTTTCAACATGGATACGCACCAAATGTCATGGAACGTTTACACGACCCAGACTATTTACTCCATATTTTGAAGAATCAAAGGTATATTATCAATGAACTCTCACCTGCAACAAAAAAAGTTGAACAACAAATAAAGCCCTGAGAAAAAAAGCAGAATTTCCGCCTGGGTTGCACAAAAGTAAAAGATTTACACCTTTACATTTGAAGCGTAGAAAAAAATCTGGAACAAATTCTACAAATTTAATTGTCATTTAAAATTCACTTTTCACATACAATGAAGTATTCAACCTTTTGCCTGCACAGTGTCTCTTTCTAAAAAAAATATATGAAAGTAAGTTAATTAAACTGTTCAGATAAATGTTAACAACACATTCAGGAACTTTGAAGATGAAGAAACCATGAATATATATTATATTTGGTATGTCAATATAGTATTTTCATGAGATTGTTCTCATATACATTCGTTTGCAATGTTTGCTGATAAGGGAGATATAATTGAATTGTTGAAAAGTGTATGTTTTATGGGGGCAAATGATTTCAGAAGGAGTCCAATTTGGCTTTAGAGATACAACAATATTAGGTTGTTATTTTACAGTTTAACAGCTTTGCCTTTATTGAAAAATTGAAGACGTCAAAGTCTTAAGTTGATGTTGTTAATAACAAATTCAGACATACAACATTTACTCAGCAAATACAGATTATCAAAATCTACTGATAATACCATTCTTTATGGTGAAAGCAAAATGTTTTATATAATGACTTTTTTCGTTGATAGGCGGTATTAGAAGAACAGATGTCACAGGATCAGGATCAAGACTCAGGTCGTGTACGGACTATACAAATGTCTTCTATACCAGACACACTGTATATGGTAGAAGACAGACTACAGTCCTATATACCGTTCAGTTCAGGGAGTTCTACTGTTGATATTGTTGCTGGTACTATTCCTGGTAGGTCACCGTGAGAACCCAAGAACACACTCTTCAAGCTAGAATAAGTTATAGTTCTCTTGTTATACTTGTACTCTGAAAGAAGGGGATATACAAGTTTCCCTATCTCAATCAACCACCCTGTCACTTTTTCTTCTGTACATTCTCTGTAACTATGCATCACCATGATTTGAAAATTTAGCATTTTATTCATTATATTGGTGAGATGTAAAGTGTAACACATTTTGATACATTTCACGTCTATCATTCACCAGATTCCTGAATAATAATATCTGTTCAAAAGAACCTCTATATGTCATATTGGAATTTGTTATCACTGCCAAGCAGCTATATATCACAATGATTTAAAACTTATCATATTCGTGAACTTTCATCTGTTGCTCTCCTGGTTCCTGTAATGGAAAGAAAAGTCTATTTATAGCCACACCTATCAATTTTTTTGTTATTTATTTGTTCTTTTATTTTTCAGTCAGTGTACAATTTGATTGGCATAATAATATTTGTTTTAAATGTCACAACTATAGATTGGATATTTTTTTTTATTACAAAATTATTTATTAACTGCATTAATTTAATTAGAAGTTTGGCATTAAGCATGATGTTGTTATGTTGTTAAGAGTGATGTATGTTGTTATTGTGTAACCACATGGTTTCTATTGATTCAAAATATATGTAATTGAGCTAAATCTAAGAATATGGATCATTGTAAGCTCAAATATTCAAATTGGTTGATTTTATAATGTGCATTCAAATGCATTTGCTTAAGTAATAACCTTTAAATGAATTTGTTTCAACGATGAGAGTGGCTTGTTTGTTTGTTGTACCTTGATGACTGATCATTGGGAAAAAATTATGCATGTCATACACATTTTACCTTGGATACTAAAGGAATGAATTAAAACCCAAGAGTATTGATTAAGATGAAAAAACCATTAGAATTTAAATTAATCACTCAAAATTATTGTAAAGGATGCAGACTGAACTAGATAGCAGCTAAAAAAGAAATTCCTACATCTCCTAGGAGTTGTTTCAGTCGCAACCACTTACATAATTTATATTGAGTTGTCTTTCTAAACTTTAATGTACTGTTTTGTCAGTCATACTTATTTATTAAATAATGGATTTTTCAATTTAATGGATGCAGATGCATTGGGTAAAAACATGTTTTTTACATTTAAATATCAGTCTGACAATACAGTATACTATAGAAACAAGAAAACATCCTTGTTCTTTGGTCTCTGGTGTATAGCTGTTTGATTGGCAATCATACCACATCTCCTTAATTTTATATGATGCAATTTTCCAATTTGGTTGACTAAACCTCATATAATCCAAGAGTTTTGCCAGGTTCTTTCGACTTTCCAATTTGACTTGCCAAATTTGCTTGTAATCAAAGTAGATGACATTCATGTTTTTAGTGGTCTACCCTTTTCATTGCATAACTTTCAAATCAAATAGTTTGGACTGATGAATTTTTTTAAATCTTCAAATATAAAGTGTATTCATAACAGATTTTTATACGACCGCATAAAAATTTTTGTGGTCGTATATTGGTATGACGTTGGCGTCGTCGTCGTCGTCCGAAGACACATTGGTTTTCGCACTCTAACTTAAGTTTAAGTGAATGGATCTCTATGAAATTTTACCACAAGGTTCAATACCACAAAAGGAAGGTTGGGATTGATTTTGGGGGTTATGGTACCAACAGTTAAGGAATTAGGGGCCAAAAAGGGGCCAAAAATAAGCATTTTTGTAACTTCCAGACATAACTTGTGTGTTAGTGTATGGATCTCTCTGACATTGTACCACAAGGTTCCAGATCACAAAAGGAATGCTGGGATTGATTTTGGGGGTAATTGCCTCAAAATTTTAGGAATTAGGGGCCAAAAAAGGGGCAAAAAACAAGCATTTTTCTAGTTTCATGACAATAATTTGTGTATTAGTGTATGGATCTTTCTGAAATTGTACTACAAGGTTCCATACCACAAAGGGAAGGCTGGGATTGATGATGGGGGTAATTGCCTCAATATTTTAGGAATAAGGGGCCAAAAAGGGGCCAAAAATAAGCATTTTTCTAGTTTCAGGACAATAACTTGTGTGTAAGTGTATGGATCTTTCTGAAATTGTACTACAAGGTTCCATATCACAAAGGGAAAGCTGGAATTGAGTTTGGGGGTAATTGCCCTAAACATTTAGGAATTTGGGGCCAAAAAGGGGCCAAAAAACACATTTTTCTAGTTTCCAGACAATAACTTGTGTTCAAGTGTATGGATCTCTCTGAAATTGTACTGCAAGGTACCATACCACAAAGGGAAGGCTGGGATTGAATTTGGGGGTGATGAATCATAAGGGGGTTCAAAAAATTTGGGGGGGGATTTTTTTTTTTTACCTTTTTTTTCTTTTTTTCCTTTTTTTTTTCTTTTAAAATTTTCCATTTTAAGTTGGTTATTTCTGATTTATATTTTAAAGCAAATAATAATGATATGGTAGGAGATACACACCAAACAGGATGTGTAAATTATTATATAATAAGTATTGTGCAATAGCAAGAAATTTTCAATTGCACAGTATTGCACAATAGCAAGAAATATTTAATTGCACAGTATTGTGCAAAAGAAGATACTTCGTATAAATTGCTTATTTCATGACCAATTTCAATGGGGTTTTATTCTTGAATTCTTGGGGTTCTTTAATATGCTGAATCTAACCGTGTATTTAGTTTTTGGATTTTGGGCCCCATATTTAAATTGGTCCACATTGAGGTCCAAAGGGTCCAAAATTAAACTTTGTTTGATTTCATCAAAAATTGAATTATTGGGGTTCTTTGATATGCCGAATCTAACCGAGTATTTAGATTCTTAATTTTTGGTTCCGTTTTCAAATTGGTCTACATTAATTCTTAGGGTTCTTTGATATGCTGAATCTAAACATGTATTTAGATTTTTGATTATGGGCCCAGTTTTCAAGTTGGTCCAAATCGGGGTCCAAAATTAAACTTTGTTTGATTTTAACAAAAATTGAATATATGGGGTTCTTTGATATGCTGAATCTAACCATGTATTTAGATTTTTGATTTTTGGGCCCCATTATCAACTTTGTCCACATTGAGGTCAAAAGGGTCCAAAATTAAACTTTGTTTGATTTCATCAAAAATTGAATTCTTGGGGTTCTTTGATATGCTGAATCTAACCATGTATTTAGATTTTGGATATTGGACCATAATAGGTGAATGTCCAATTTAAAATTTTTAAGTTCTTAGACCACATTCATTTTGTGTCAGAAATCTATGCTGTGTCAAATATTTAATCACAATCCAAATGCAAACTGTATCAAGCTTGAATGTTGTGTCCATACTTGCCCCAACTGTTCAGGGTTCGACCTCTGCGGTCGTATCAAGCTGCGCCCTGCGGAGCATTTTATTGACAACTGCTATCTTATTTTACCTTACAGTACATTAATTGGAGGTCAAATAAAAAATGATTATTGTTTAAGATAAGAAAAAACTTTTTACACAGGATCATGAGGATATCATCTAAGATATAAAATTATACAGTAAACAATTTTTCCACAATTATGTTAAGTACCCAGTATTTTATGTATCACATTGAAATCAAACAAAGCAGTGCTAAATATTTTTGGCTTTGAATTACAGTTATAAGTCTTAATTATTTGTTTTCTATCACAGTGCCTGATCAGACAACAATGAAAATGATGATAAAGAGAGAAAAAGAATTCCAAGAGAGTAAATTGACTATAAGAGCATTATCTCTACCTTACTGTGACCGTCGTGTTGTGAATTATCAAATACAGTTACGTATAGTGAGAGAATTTGGACTCCCCGATAGTACTATTGAAATATTACAAAATAGTCATTTTTACCATTCAAACAATGTAAGAAATCATCATCATCCTCAGCCACCAACACCTGTTAGAACTAATCCATTGTTGCCGATAAAAAGGAGACAAAGCCCACCACTGAGCAGAAGGAGTAGACATGGTAGTCCTACAAAACCTATACAGATGGTATCACCTACAAGGTCCCTTAAACAGGTAATGACAGAAAACAGAATTTTATATTTGTTTTTGTCATATAGTTAAGACCAGGGATATTTTCATTTGTGTAGCTTCCATGCATTAATGTCGATATCTTGTTGCATTATTTTAAACTCTTATTCAGCTTTCATTTTTCTATGCAGAATACTTTAATTTGTAGTTTTATTTTGCACAGATAATTTAATGATAGCACAAAATGAAATGAATTGTTAACTGTAACAAAAGCCTTACATAGACAATATAGAAAGCAGAAAGATAATGGCAAAAATAAAGACAAAAAAATGGACACAGAAAATATCTACTGTATGAAAGATAACCATAATCTATAAAGATGTAGGGGTACAGATAATCACAAATGAAATAAAACAACAATATAAAAAACAAAATGATATTCTCAAAGAAAAAATAGCAAGTTAATCTGACAAAGTAATAATATCAATAAAGCCCAAATATCTCACATTGTGACTCGAGGAGGATTCCTTGACCTTCAATATGGGCTAAGGTAGGGCATCATTGCAATAAATATTAAAAGAAATTATGAATTAGATTAACAACCATATGTTTTTTTTTATTTTCAGCCTGATATTAACCCATGTCATGAAAGTGTCTTAAGTGAAACCATGCCTGATATTGCTATGGCAACAGCATCTGTTAGTCAGGTTCACCTTCAGGATGAATTTGAATTGGACATTGGTGATGGAACTAGTCATCCAGGAACCATGTACATCTGACCTATCTGTGTTCATTATATTTTTATTCCTTCTGTCATGATACAAAACCAGGTTAATATAGACTGCTGTGCTTTTTAAATCTTAGGGTTGAACATATACAAATTGATTCTTTTTTAAATGAATTGTATTTTACATAATACAGTACAGTTCTAAAATTTGGATACAGTAGCCCCTATTTCTGAAGGAAATTATCAGCTCCTGACAAGGGGAATGAGGGTTTGCATTATAAACTTCTCTTCAGTAATATTATAATGTCATATTAAGCAGAGTATTTGCACACAAAAGGGGCATTACAAGAGGGGACTACTGTTTCTTAATTTCTAAACTGGAAAAGTAAAATAGCTGTTTCAGGAATCTCAGGTTTAGCTGAATGTACTAAAATTATTGTAAGAATCCTCAAAAAACATATTTATTAACAGTTAGTAAAATATTTGTATCATTTAACGATACAAAGTATATTTATGTTAGAGATATTTTTTTTTCTTGTATGGTGAGTATTTTTGGTGTTTATCTTATATTAAGAGTACGATCAAAAATATTGCAGTGTTCTCTTCAGATTTTGGATAGCATTGTAGTGAAACTTCCTACTGCTTGTTATCACCCTGACATGTTTGTGCTGTGTTGTATAGATGAATTTTGAAATCAAATTGATAAAGTACAGTATCATAGCTAGTTCAAAATAGAGAGGAAGAGGTGAGGTCCCCTCTTCCCTTTTGTTCTCCCCTCTGCCCTATTCATTTTTTGTTTTTCAAAGGAAAATAAATACTTTTCAATGCAAGGGAATCGTTTAAACTGGAAAAAGTGTTTTATAACACACAAATAATTATGAATCCATTAAAAAACTTTTTCAATTATTTCTCTTTTTTTTCTACAAACATGATAAAGGCATTCCTTTTCAAACAAGAATCTGTTCAAAAAATGCACTTCATCTGAAAATGTGGCCCTCAGCCTTTAAATTCTAGTTAGAACATTGAAGTCTAACATAATTTTGTTCCATACCAGTGGTATAATTACATGCATAACAGGTGCAGACCCAGGATTTTTAGAAAGGGGGTCCCATTAGAAAGAAAAAGTTAAAGAGTGGGACTTGTAAAAAGTCTATACATTAACTATATACAAAGCTCAATAAGGGTGGGCTGGGCCACATTATTCTAAGGAATTATATTTATCTTTTTCTGTAAAACTTAATAGTAGAGTCTGCATTCACTTCTGATAGAACTCAGATAGTACACTTTTTTATCAAGGCATATCATTGATCTTTTCATTCAACCTAAAATTCAACCATTATAAGTAAAGTAGGCAAGCCATTTCAGTGTATGCACGTTGTGTTGTACCTAATGCAAATTATTTATTAATGTTATGACTGGGTAATATAAATTACAGGGAAATATCTTAACTGAATCTCTAATGCTGTAGATGAACAAAAGACCACTGAGGTCATCTGGAAAGTACTGTAGTACCACATTGCTTTAAAGGGCTGATGAGAACACTGTAATTTTGGTATGAATGTTGTTAAAGAAAATTGAACCTATATCAGGCTTTAAGTCTTATTCAATGACAGTTATCACATTATTTGATACACCCTAATCATATACTGAAATGTACAATCTATTGGAAGATTTATTGATTATTTATGTAAAATACCAGTTCAGCCAAGGGAGGTAAATATACCATTACACATAGTATTTGCCAATGTTGAAGCATCATTTAAGAAGTTGTCCATTAACTTACATTTTAAGGTTTTCTATCTCATTTTAACTTACATTACTTGGCATTCTTGTGATAACAAATATGACAATCAGTTTTGAAGTACATTTGTTCAGTAATTACTGTGTAAATTGTTAGATATGTTAAGTGATTCTTATGTATCTTTACATATATGTGCAGTCACACTTAATGAATTTTATATGTGTAGTCAAATCTTATAGATTGATGTTGGCAATACTGTACATGAAATCAATAAGTTTTCACTCTTTGGTTTTGAAAAAAGGATACCAGTGATTTTATTCCCTGCAAGTTTGATTTTCCTGTCGGTCAATTTATCTCTTTACATTATGTTTGTAATTAATATGAGGACGAAGCTACATGATTCATAATGTTATCTGGACTTAACTTGGGTATAGAGGCTTAGCTTTTACATTAACATTACTGATACTTTAGAAAGAAAGATTATCACAAAATGTCTGCTTCTTCTAATCCTTTTTACAAAACAGGAATTTGGAGTTGTGAACTTGCTAGTTATCTGTTCCTCCACAAGGTTATATTGATTAGTTAACTGTAGTTGATTTCTTTTATACATTAGTCACATTAAACCATTGATTTCTTTAACTATTATATTAATTGAACAAATAAGTTCCCTATTTCTGCTGTTCACACAGGTATAGTAACTATAAAAATTGGCGACCTGATCTCAATGAAATGACCAAGATTATTTCTGTAAAGAAATAGGACATTGGTCTTTCAGTAAAGGTCATGTCTTGCAAATATGACTGTTTCTGTACCCTTGGTATAGTTAGAAAGCATTTTAATTTGTCTAATAAAATTAGACTTCAATTACTTAGTAAGTTATTATATTTTTGCACATTTAAAACAGCAAGAACAATAATTAAAAATGTCAGAAACCATTTTCTAATTTGCTCAATGTGACATGACTGGAATGATGTATTAGGTATATGTATTATGGTTTGTTGTTTTTCTACTTAACTAATCAAACTTATTGTTAAATTTTGTACATAATTATTTTAGTTTATATATTACATGTCATATTACTAATAGTGCTGATAGATTTATTTTATGTAGATCTTTTATGTCTAAAATACCAATATGTAGAGAATATTCATTCGAAAACATGTTTCTTTTAAGAAACAATGCATATTTGGAAGCATTAAAAAAATGTGCTAATTGGTCTGCCAAAACCAAATCAACTTAAAACAAGATATGCTTATGTCACAAACTTGTTAAAACAGGTATTGATAGAAATTCCCTTTTAAAATCTGTTTCAGACAGCAGTGATCTCCCCAGGCCGTTTTAGCGTCGTGGCCCCGCGATGCTATAATTTTTTACCGTGACGCTATAATAATTTCCGCGACGCTATAATTATTTTGAGGACGCTATTATTTCTTGTCTGCTCTTAAATTGCCGCAATATCGATGTCCTAAATTTCGAACTTTCATCGAATTGCCGCTTGTGATCATAAAAATTATATCACCTTTAATTGTAATCCCTTCAAATCGGACATAAGAGGCAATTAAATTGATTAAATAGGTGTTAATTGTCCTTTGGGTGATAACTGTTTGGATACGAATACCCCAAGCTGACACTTATGACATGACTGATAACACGTGGACCAATTGCAAAATTTTGACATTGAGAAAATCATAAACAATTCGAAATCTACGTTTGAATCAAGGCAAATTCGTCTCCTAAGAGAAGAAAAAAAAAAACGAGCGAACTTAACAGGCTGGTCGTTTGTTATTTCAAACTAACAACTTGTAAAGAAGTGTTTTCTTTCCATTCCGGTACTCATGGTACTCGAGAGCGTACATAAAACATTTCGATTCTGGGCAAAATAAGTTCTATACTTCATTAGAACGTGATGAAAATTGCCTTTAGGTAATGTTTCATCTATTTATTACAGTAAAATCGTGATATATTCATCCAATTCGCTTCCCAAACATTGTTTATTTTCGTAAATTTTTCTTCGACCGCCATTGATATATTTGTACTAATTACGGATCGGAAGCGGACCAGCTATGATAAAAATCCGCATTTTTACGGTAATAAGTTAATAACTACAGACGCAGAAACATCACAGCTGACAGAATAATAATGATCCCAATAGGGAAAGCTACTCATTCCACACGAATATACAGACTATTTGTTAGATCTCCTTGCAAAATGTATTTATTTCTCTGTAAACACATTGTTTCAATTAATTTACTGATTAAAGTAGTTTAACAATGTTAAAAACATATATCTGTTTGAAACAACTGGGACTGATACATTGAGTCCCAGGAAATAATGAATTTCATAAACATGATAAACAGAATAGTTTTTAATTGAAATGGTATGACTATATGATACTTTCTTTTCCTTTTTGATATAAAAGAAGTTCTCTTTTGTACTAGATTTTTAGTTGGTAGTTTCTAACAAGAAAAATATAATTCTGTAACTATAAATGAATATTAAAGAAATAAACTAAAAGAACAGTTATACTTTAATTGTATTCTCAGTTATGAATTGAAAAAAATCAACATAACTTAAAAGAAAGAGAGCATCGCTGCGACGCAACAAATGACATTGAAAAATAAATATAAATTTTTTTTTACGCCAAATGTGATGCTATCCAAAATTCCTGGGGAGAACACTGGACAGTCATTTTTTTTTAGGAAAAGTTATGAGAATATTCTTGCGATTCCTTTATTTTCAAGAAATTTCACTGCTAAGAACAACAAAATTAAAAAACTGAATTATTTTCTACATATAAGTATTTTGTTTTCAGACTTAGCAGCAAGCTGTGATTATTTTTATGGATATAAATTTTATTTTCATTGAATGTAATTAGGTGTTAATGTAAATGGGTTTTTACAAGGTAAATTTTTTTTCTATATTTATTGGAAATTATCCTAATATGAGCCCTTGGATATTACATTGTCCCTAAATGGACTGTATATCTGTTTTGGCATTGTGAACAGAAACGTTTATGAAAGTAACTGCACCAAATTTGTTTAGTGATATTTTCATTTTCTAGCACTGGCTTTTAGTCCCTGAGGGTAGCATCAGCTCATTAGTCAGTGCTTTGTAATTGTTCTGAATAATACTTGAATGATAAAAAAGTTAGCTTTGATCTTTTTCTTTCTCTAGAAAATTACTGATTCAAAGAGTTTTTCCCCTTGTTTTGGTTGTTGTTTTCTAATTTAAATATGATTACACCTTTATGATTCCGTTGATAACATCTTATCTAAAGTTAATTTCTGACAAATATGAAAATGTATTACGGTTGGGCTTCTGTTAGGATGAATGCAGTTGTTGTTTATGCATTTTGGTATTGCTGGTCAAATTGTTATAGTTTTTTTTCTGCTTGTAGATGGTGTTTACTATCATAAAAAAATATATACAAATTGTTGGGGGGTAATTCATAAACCTCTTGATAATAAAAGTGTAAGCATTCAGGTAGTAAGGAATTGTTTTCTATTGAAGCAAAACAGAATCCATGAATTTGAAAAATATGTGACTGATTCTCTTGTACTTTTATATTTCATAAATTCTTGTTTACTGCAAATTTGTTTAATTAAATGGCTTCATGCAATATTTCATAGACATGTACTTGGGTGACAATAATTCATTTTGCAAACTACATCTCATGTTCTTGTTTTGTTGAAATTTTCATTCCTTGATTCATGACAGATTATTATGTATTTTCATATTTTTTGTTGCAGTAACTGCTTTAATCTGTTTGAAACATAAAGAATAAATTATCACTGATATGTTTGTCTTTGCTTAATTTCTGGGATTTTGTTTATCTTGCATTAACCAAGTGAAGCAAGAGAGATTATAGCGTGCTGTTTCCAGCCATGTCTACAATGTATTAGTTTGTGATTAGGTCAGTTTATGGGAAACCACTAATGATAATTGAATGGTATTTGGTGTGCAGTTGTATTAGCATTGGCATTTCTCAATTCCATGCAGGTTATTTGGACCTGCACCTTCAGTCATGATTGACTTTAAATGTTTTTCATAGTTTACATGTTCAAGTTTTGCCATTTTAAATTCAACAATTGCATTATACTATCAAAATTACATAAAGGTGAGACATGTCTGTTTCAACAGTTTATCTTCCTTTGCAGAAGACTATGCAATATGGGCCAGATAAAAACTAATTGAAATCCAAGGAAATAATGAAAGCATGTATTCAGAAATCTAATGTAATTTGTTTAATGATATTGACATAATTATTGGTATATATAGTGAGTAACTAGGTTTTATGATTGTTTGTTTGTTGGTTACATAATTGTGGCCAGTTTTTGTAAGTGGGTGAAGCTGGTGATCCTGGATAGAACCATCAACCTTTCAGCATGACAACTTGCAAATCTTAAGTCAATTAGGATTTGATTATTATAAAACACACTAGGTTTTGTGGAGATGACAAAAAGACTGAAAATATTTAAAAGGTATTTCAAATAGAAAATAGACAGGTAACCAGTAGTTGCAGTTCATTATTACCTGCCATAAATTTTTGGGGGTAAAGATTGCATCAAATACCCTGTTGGTACTGGCTTGATAGATATATCTTCTAAGCCTCATTTCACCCTTTGAGAGTCCAAACAATATAGTGCAGTGAGGTGAACATTCTGTGGATCATATCCATGCCAGTGTCAAAGAATTCATTAATAACATATACTCAGGTATTCAAGTAACAAAATGATGTGTATGTGCAGAAGAAAATTATTAAAAATTACATAAGTTGTGCATGGTGTATGAATCTATCTGTTATTAAAATAGGTTAAAGGTCAACTACAATTATGAACAAAGGAAGATAAGGCTTATTCAAAATATTACCTAAATGTTTTCCATTGGTAAATTCAATTCAATGTTTAATTTTAATTCCACATTGCAGATGAAAGCAATCTTAACCATTTAGTCAAGCACTTTGATTGATACATGTATAATTTTATCTTAAATCAGGTTGTTGGTTTTTAGTCCCCTACTGACGGAGTCGAAGGGGACTTTAGGTTTGCACTCTGTCCGTCTGTCTGTCTGTCCGTCCGTCTGTCAGTCCGGCAAATCAGCTTTCCACACTTTTTTTCTTCGTTCTTGAAGATATTGATTTGATATTTGGTATGTAGTTATATCATGACAAGTTATAGATCAAGTTCGAATTTTGTTCCGGTCTGATGATTTAGTCCAGAGTTATGGACCGTATCTAATGTTAGAGTACTATGTTAAACCATATTTCTGTACAAAGGGAGATAACACATTTTTTAGAAGACATTCTTTGTTAAATTATTTGAAGAATTTTTTGGCAGGTTTGTTTGTTATTTAGTATAAACTAATTTTCTGAATGCTATATATATAAAACAAAATTATGAAGAGAAATCCTTTAATTAGATAATAATCTATTTTTTATTAATGTATATATTTCAATCCATTACAATGTGTAGATAAAAGTTGTTGATATTTTATAGATAAGTTACAAATCTATATTAGTTTGTGACAAATGAAAGAAAAAATATTTGGAACTATTAATTATATTTGATTATAATTTGAAAATAGATATACACTGTATTACATCATATCTAATTTTAGAGAACTATTAATCATATCTAATGTTTTTTTCATCATGCTTATAAGATATTGATTGATAATTGGTATATAGTTTTATCATGACAAGTTACAGATCAAGTTCAAATTTTTGTTTCGGTCTAATAATTTTGTGCAGAGTTATGGTCCTTGGACATGAAAAATTCACTCATGTAATCAGTTTGCCACACTGTTTTTGTCATGCTTGAAGATATTACCATGATATTTACTTTTTGTTTACACCCTGACAAGTTATAGAACAAGTTAGCATTTTGTTCCAGTATAATGAATTTTTAACCGGTAGGTTACTATGTATTGCCATGCAATACTCTCAGAAAGCTTGTCTCTGTTGAATTGCTTCACATTTTGTTACCCCAGGCACATTTATACATTTTTATCTAATCCAGCATGTGGCAGGTGCATTTGACTCCAATCTTAATTGACTAGGTATGTCTTTTTTCCTACTGAAGGTTGGAGGTTCTCTCTGTGCACTCTGGCTTCCTCCACCAATAAAAACTGACCACCAAGAAAAAGTGCAATATTGCTGAAAGTGGCATTAAACACCAATCAATCAATCACATCTTTGTCATGGGTTTTGCTCATTGTTGAAGGCTGTAAAGTGACCTGTAGTTGTTTACATCCTTGTCATTTGATTGTTGTTGGATAGATGCTCACTGGCAATGATACTACATCTTATTTTGAGATAGAATGCATTTTCTCCAACTTCTTTAACAGAATTATTGTTAGTTATGAATTAAGTTGGTATTCCATTAGGTAAACAAGAAAACAAGAAAATATTGTTTTTGTTGAGATTATGAATACATTTAAAGTCATGTCAACAGGAAAATTAGTGAATAAAAGGACATAATTGGTATTTAAATAAATTAGACAACAGCCGAATGACATTGTAAAAACAAACAAAAAACACCAAGAGGTAAATGTTCACACATTAACACATTTAGTAAATAATTAAAAATTAGTCTACCACTGATGAGGTTTCAGACTAGGGACAGGCCCGTGAACATTTGGCAGGTTTAAATTAGCTATTTGCCATCTCACCCCTTTTGATATTCAGATTAGGAGAATAACAAATAGTACATTGAAGACAGTACAGAAAAATTAGTTTAGGAAAAGCACTGACCTCAATAACACAGATATAAAAGACAATAAAAAACAGACACAAACAAAACAACAGCAAATAAAACAGTATCAAAGTTTTAGAACCCTCCTTTTTCTCCTCGGCACCAACGATCTGTCAAAGATGAGATTGTTTGCAGACACTGTCTAGACTGTACCGGAAAGTCTAGAGGACCAATGACTGTAAAAATGGAAGAACAACTGCCTCATGTTATTCAAACCTGACAAGTGCGTATGACTATAACCAACATATGCTACACACAAAACTCATCGACTTCCCTAGCTAAGGTCATAACAGCTTAGTATGTAGGGTTAAACTTTACTTCAGTACATGCCCAAAAAAGATCAAGGAGAATTGCTTCAATACATTAGTAAGACACTTCTTTATACTGTGGAACTCCCATGATGCCAAAGGTCCTTAGGGCATATTATTCTACCAAATATAGATGGTGCAGAAAAGAGTTTTTCGTTTTGTTTATGGAGACGATACATGTAAGACCACTATCAGAGTGAAGTCGATGCTAGAGAATCTCTTATGGGAACCCTTTCATCATCGTAGGCAGCATTTTATAATCACAATGATGTACCCTTACAGAACTGAAATGTTTTCAACACATCTGCAGCAGACCTGCAGGAAGCCTGAACATAATATAAAAATAAGGAGATGTGGTATGATTGCCAATGAGACAACTATCCACCAAAGTTCAAATGAAGTGGATGTAAGCAAATGCCAATTATAGGCAACCGTACGGCCTTCAACAATGAGAAAAACCCACACCGTATAGTCGGCTATAAGTGCTTGCTGATGTTAGAAGATAGCTGCAACCTTCCGGTAAACATTGAAGATTTATGCTGTAAGCATGCGACAAATGGGAACAGTGTGGGAACCCTTTCAACATCGTAGGCAACATTTTAAAATTGCAATGACGTACCCTTACAAAACTGAAATGTTTTCAACACATCTGCAGCAGCCCTGCAGGAAGCCTGAACATAATGCTTGCTGATGTTAGAAGATAGCTGCAACCTTCCAGTGAACAATGCAGATTTATGCTGTAAGCATGCGACAAGTTTGCAGAACCAACTTTGTTCGCAGTAAGGTTTCAGAAGAAATTAGAACATAAGAAATGATGTTTGCAACTATAGATTGCAGCTTGTTATCCAACAAATTGGGTGGGGGCTAGGATGAAAAATTTTGTCCTGAATTTATTTGGTTGTAATCTCTGTCCTACTTTTTTATTTTTCACTCTATTCGGTTCTGCATTTTTTTTTATAAGTTTTTCCTGACTTTTTTTACATAAATTGTCATCCTGCCTTTTTTTTGTGCAAAGTTGCTCATCCTGTCTTTTTTTTACTCAAAAACTCCTGTCCTGTCTTTTTTTTTCAAAATTTCATCATCAAATGGTAGCTCCCTAATACTTGGATTGGTTTAGAAAAGAAAGTGTATTTGAATGTCTGTATGTATATGACCTAAACCTTTTTTTCAGAATTTGGTTTGTAATTTGAATAAGGTGATGTGTAGACACACATTTCGTTGGTATATTGTAATTTCTGTAAGTTTAAAAAAAAAAAACACAGGAGCGAGATTAATTTGCTAACTTGTTTGTCTCAAATCTACAACAAACACTCATTTTCCAGCTGCTGATCCTCATTAAATGGTAAACTTGTTTGCCGCAGACTTAAAGCACACTTGCAGCAAACATGCAGCCGACATGACGACTTTACACAAATCCATTGGATGTTGGATGTGTACGGATTGATAATTTAGTCTTAGATGCATGGTGTTTTTTTATTAGTTGTTAGTGGCTTTGAACTAGCTGTCAGTAACTGCGAGTACTCTCAGATCTGTACTTAGTGTCTTTTTGTTGTTTGGATGTACAAGTACCCGGCCACGTCCACTTGTATTTGTATTATTTGTATTTTTATCCATCTGATGAGTTAAGCCTCTTTCAACTGATTTTTATAGTTCGTTCTTATGTTGTACTGTTACACCACTGTCCCAGGTTAGGGGGAGGGTTGGGATCCCGCTAACATGTTTAACCCCGCCACATTC